GGACTGTGCACATCAGCTTCCCTCTCTTCCCTCGTCCCCGCCCCCTCCTTTTCAATATCCTTCTAACTGGTTTCCAAGCTTCTTTGTGTAGGATCCAAGGTGCCATGCTGGTCTCAGAAAGAAGTTCTGAGTTTCTCCAGCATGAGCCCCTGAGACTAGACCTGGGACTTCCCTAGCACACTGGTACTCCAGGCCAGAACAATGGCTACCATTGAAGAAGATGGACAGCCCAGCCTTAGAAAAAAGGAGAGTCAGAGCCTTTCTGTGACACAGTCAGGGAAATGACCCTCGGGAGGCACCAAGGATTCTTCAAGGTGAGGCAGGGAGCAGGGGCCAGATTCAACATGAGCAATTGCCACCTGTCCACACAGCCCTCTTGGGCCACCCTACAGGAGGCCAGTCCTAGGGGAAGGCACAGTGGCCAAAGGGGGCTTCATCTTGCCTGTGCTCAGAGACCAGCTCAGCCATGGTTTGGCTACACTGCCCCCTGGAACATGGATCCACCTCCCAGAGAAACAGGTCAGCAAGCCCTCCCTCATTTAACAGGACTTTACTGGCAGTGCTGTTGGAAGGATTCACTGTGTTTACCATATAGAATCTACCACAGGCCCCAGCAGACTGTGTGACCCCAGGGCTGCTCGACCTCTCTGGGAGGTGAGTGCGTGAAGAAAGAAAAATGGATGGGGTGGTTGTCCCTTAAATTCTTGGTACAAGAATGAGGACCCAGGTTCTAATCTGCAGCACTCATGTAAAAACCTGGGTGCACCATGCACATAACCATAGTATTGGGGAGGAAGAGACAGCTTACTGGCCAGCCAGCCTAGCAGAACTGGCAAGCTCCAGGTTCAATGAGAGAGTCTCAAAAATTAAAGTAGAGAGTAAGAAAGGAAGGCAATCAATGCCAACCTCTGGAAAACACACACACACACACACACACACACACACACACACACACACACACACACACACACACAGAGCAGAGCAAACACACGGAGCAGGGAAAAAGAACCTTACTGTCACAGTGGCCCATAAGAGAAAGGTGGCAGGGTATCAGATTCAGACTTTAAAACTGACCAAGGGGGATGTAGGTAGCAGGAGGTGGCACCAGCAGCAGTGCAGCCATCCCTTGGTGACTTGCCTGGTGTATTGGGAAAACTGTCTGTGTAGGTACTGGCTTTATAAAATGGGGGTAAGCCAGCTTTGTTCAGTGTTAATGGATAGCAACTTCTAGATAGACAATGTGGGCTCCTTGCTAACGGTTCTGGGTCTGCAGAGGTGTTCTGAGGTGAGCCTGGGAGACAGAGAGGAAGGAAGACACAGCAAATCCCTCATAAGCTGCAGAGGCACCAGGAGATTCTGCATGTTCCTTCCCTGTACAGAACAAGACAAAACTATGTAAACTGCAGCAGGAGGGATATGGGTTGGACTTTATGTGTAACTTCCAAACATTCTTTTTGTTCTATGATTGGTGATGGTGCACACCTTTAATCCCAGCACTCAGGAGCCAGAAGCAGGCAAATCTCTGTGAGTTTGAGGCCAGCCTGGTCTACAGAGTGAGTTCCAGGACAACCATGACTGTTATATACAGAAATCTTGTCTAGGAAAACCAAGAAAAGGAAAGGAAAGAAAAGAAAAAGGAAGGAAAGGAAAAAAGGGACACTTGCATGGAAAGCAAGGGGTTTATTTTTTTCAAGACAGGTTTCTCTGTATTGCTTTGGAGGTTGTCCTGGAACTTGCTCTGTAGAGCAGGCTGGCCTGAAACTCACAGAGATCTGCCTGCCTCTGCCTCCTAAGTGCTGGGATTAAAGGTGTGAACCACCAACGCCCGGCCAGCAAGGGGTTTTTTAGTGATCTCTTAATGACTGGTTGAGAAACAGTGTGTGTGTGTGTGTGTGTGTGTGTGTGTGTGTGTGTGTGTGTGTGTGTGTGTGTGTGTGTGTGTGTTTTCATGTGCAAAAGGACAACAGAAGTTTGTGTCTAGGTACCTCTGTGCTGTGGCCATAGAGAATGGGAGGGACACTTGCAGGGGTTGAATGTGATGGGGTTGTCTCCTGGAAAGAACTTCCCCCAGGGAAGTTTTCAGAGAAAGATAGAGTGCAGATCCTGTCCTAGCACCACAAACAGGGAAGGTTGTGCCAGCTGCCCCCGAGATGCTGGGCAGAGTGGCAGTACCCTGTGTTCATGCCCTAAATGTGCTGGGACCAAAGCTCGTTCATCCACCTCCACTTCCTGGAGCCTGGGTTGAATTCAAACAGTATGTGACAAAATACTGATTGTTTTGAAGGAATCTGAAAAGCCCAGAATTTCTTTAGAAATGGGAGCAATGAAGTCAGAGACCAAGGGACTTCCTTCTCTGATTTGGGGACTTGGGTTTCAGACTGATGAGGAACATTAGTGCATTTTGATTGATTTTGAGGTAAGGTTTCACTCTGTAGCCCAGGCTGGTCTCAAACTCTCAGCAAGTCTCCTGCCTCAGTTTCTCCAGCTCTTGGATTTCAACCACAGGCCACCATGTCCTGATCCAGGGAACATCAATGTAAAACTTTAGTTTTATTCCAGATGGTTTTTGCCTGACTCAAAAGCACAAGCTATCTATTTCTGATCCTTGGGTTTGCCCAGGAATCTATAAACAGAAGTCT